ATAACATTTATGATACCCGAGTAAACAGTACTTATAGTTTCCTAGTGTTCTGTCAGTTTCTTGTATGTTTTCATTTACTTATCAGAAAAATATCAAATATAATTATCTTGTAATTTTTTGAAAATCAGAATGTTTATTCTTAATTTTACCATTACTGTTATCTTTTTACAATGTTTATTTTTTCCTGTCTTTTCTTTTACATTGTAATTATAGCATACGTCTTCTTGTTTCCACTTTCATCATGTCAAAAGCTTTCCTCATGCTGTGATATTGTTTTCATAACTGTCAGTTTTAATGTTCTTATAATATTGCATAACCACATTTTTACATTGGATGTGTAGGTCTCTTTTTTGGTGTGTGCCAATTTGTGATTATCCTCACCATACCTTAATGTACAACTGTAATAGTCACCTGGAGGCCCTGAAAATTGGACTTAGATTCGGTGGTGTTAGTTCCATTTGTTTCCTCGACTTCTCCATTATCTCTGAAGTTGTAGTTCCTTTAGCTTTCACCTGAGTCAGTAAGCTCCCTGATCTTCTGTAGTTACACATGCATCCTCTTTCTTTGTCTTCTACCTTCCTTCTCTCTTTTCTCCCTCCCTCCCTCTATCTCCTCCTCTCCTCTGCAAGTATTTCCTAATCCCCTATCTTCTTTGTCAAGGAGTCTTTTCATATGTACTAAATGAAATAATATACAAGACAGTTTCCCAGTCTCCATGAACAAATGCTGTAAAGAAAATTTCAAAAGGGTCATGTTTGTTTCAGAGAGTGTCTGTCATAAAAAGAACTAAAGGATAGGCAGTGTCTGCCATGTCCCACCATCATCTTCCATGGAAAAACATATCCTAACCACCTGGCCGAACTCCCAGGAGAACAGCTTCTAGGTGCCATCCTAGTGCTGTGCCCTCTCAGAAGCAGCTTAGACTTGGCTTTGTGGTTGTGCATGCCAGGCTTTGACCAAATCTGAATGTTCACCAGCATGGGCCTCACAAATGTGAGCCGGGGAAGTGACTTCCACCTGGCTGGAAGAAGCTAGGGGTAAAAATAATGGAAGGTATAGGTAGAGAAATGCTACAAGTCTAAGCCTCGGAGTTAGCATTTCTGAAAGCCACCCCTTGGTTTAATCATTTGATTAAAATTTTGGCAGTGAGTCAGATTTTAAATTTTATAACTCTTGATAATCTGCTGTTACATACATTTTACTGCCACTATGATCCCCCACTCTCTTCCCCTTCCCTTGCCCCTGACAGGATGTGAAGGGCTGACAAAACTTGACCTGACTGTGAATTTCATCGGAGAGCTGAGCAGCATTAAGAGCCTGACGCACAACATCCACCTGAAGGAGCTCTTTCTCATGGGTAACCCATGTGCTGACTTCCATGGCTACAGGCACTTCGTGGTAGCCACGCTTCAGCAGTTAAAGGTGCGCTCCTCCCAAGGGTACAAAAAGAAAACTTCAAAATAGAGACAAGTAGGGACAGTGATCCCTAATGTCTGGGCTGCATGGTTGGGAAATGTGACTAATTCAAACCTTTGAACTTTTTTGTGTGGTGCTGGGTGTAGGGTAGAGGAACTCTGGCATGCTAGACCGTTGCCTAACCTCTGTGCTACACCCATAGCCCTGGCTTTGTTTTTGTTTGGGTTTTCTTTCTGAGACTCACCTCAGTGAGGAAGTTGTGGTTAAACCTGAAAAACTAAAACCAATACAATGTCGCAATACATTAACGTATCCTCACCAGAGCCCCCCGAATCTAATCATTTTAGAGCTTAGGGATTAAAAAAAAAATTTCTAGGGAAAGTATACAACTGACCACGTCAAAGCAGTTGTGTCCATTTTCATGTAATTCCACGGGTTCTCACCTTGCATGCAACTCCATGCTTCTGCAAAAGATGTGTGGGCGTTTCTTAGACATCTGTGTCCTCTGTAGCTGAGAGATTGCTGACTGCTAGGCTAATAGAGCATTTTTTTTCTAATGTAAAGTTTCTGAGATGAAGAGAATGAGGTATTCAGTTGTGAATAAATAGTCATTTCTCTCAAACATACTCCAGACTGATAATCACTGTACAGTGGATTCCTGGAAACTGAATGAGTAAGAAGCAGAGTATTATGGGAATAGATCCTGTAGGGTTATGCTAAGGGCCATAGTCTTGGAATGCTTAAGGGGTTTGTTGTAGTCAGTAGGATTGAGCAAGGGAATGCATTCAGTACAGGACACATAACTTATAAGGTTATTCTATGATAATTACCCAAAGAGTCAAATGCGAGGAGTGCAAGAGATTAACTGCACACTAGAAGCCCAAAACATTCAACTGAGGTCCTGGATCCCAGCAGTTTCTCACACAAGTCTGGCGAAAGGCTTTGAGTCCCAGGCAAAGTCCTCCTCGAGTTCAGTCAGAGGCCTGGAGCCCACGGCAATGTCTCCTGCTTGTCCGTATTGAGGATCTGCACCTGGAAGGCCCAAAGGCCAGTGATGGAAGCCAGAAAATCTATGCTCGTGAGATGAAAGATCTGTGCCACCAGGATGAGGGATCCACATTGGAGCCAGGAATTGATGTTCACAGAGAAGATCAGAGCTCCTCTGATGAAAGCAGCAGCCACTCCCTGTGACAGAGAGGCCCCGAGCTCCTCCTCATATGAGAACAGCCGAGTTTGCATCAAAAAAACCATCTGCAGCGAGCTTCTAGAAAATCAACAGACCGAGATCTTCCTCCTCAGTTCTCTTTTTATGGCTACTGGTAACAATCTTCAGGTGGATCTTCCACTCCCAGACCATGCTGATTCGTTCAGCTGGGCGTTACAAGTTGACCACTAGTCAATCCCTTACAGTGAAAGGCCACAAATTTTCCCCTGCTGAGCCCATGTCAGTGATTGAGTGCTCAAGCTGAAAGTGTTCAAGAATCAGCCAGGTGGTGGAAATGGGCTGGGTATTGCCAGCTGCTTTGCACACAGCACCCTTGCTCATCCCAAGCCCATACAGAAGGCACTAGAGGGTATCAGAGATGAGGAAGTTGGGGCTCGGAGGACTGATGCTTTCTTTCTACACTGACACATGTGGCAAGTGGAACAGGTGGGATTTAAACCAGCGTGTGTGACTCTATTCCTCCAGCCTACAACCACACTCACTGCTTCTCTTTGTATTGATATACAGCCATTAGATTAAGTCTTTCCTTTCAGAAATAATGCACTAACATGGTAGCTTAACAACCTTCTTTTGAAAAACAGTATTCACAAGTGTGTTCATTAATATTTAAAATGGGTCGATAAGGTTGGGTGTGGTGGTGTATACCTGTCATTTTAGCAGCCTGAAAGGCTGAGCAAGAAAATCTCAAATTTGATCTCAGGCTGTGCGGTTAGCAACTTAGGGAGATCCTGTCTCCAAAATAAAAAGGGCTGGGAGTAGAGCTCAGTATGAAGGCTCTGGGTTCAATCACAAATACTGCAAAAGAAAATAGATTTGTAAACTTTAGAATCTTAGTTATCACTTCATTGAAAGCTTGTGACCTACTTGAAAGGAACTGTGTTAATAGACACATTATTCTCCTAGGACTGTTGTAAGGAAGTACCCCAAACCGAATGGCTTAAACAACAAAAATTTGTTATCTCTTAGTTCAAGATCAAAGTGTCAAGAGAGTTGTCTGCCTCTGAGGGACATGAGGCAGATCTGCTCCTGGACTTTCTCCTGGCTTCTCGTATTTGCTGGCTGGCAGTCTTTGTCATCCTTGGACTTGCAGATTCATCACTTTGATGTCTGCCTTTACTCTCAACATGGTGTTCTTCTTGGGTCTCTGTCCTTTTACAGATATTCTTTCTGTAAAGACACCAGTCAAATTAGATTAGGGGTCCACCTATGATTTTTGTCTTGATGAATTTCACTTATAATGTATGGATTTTCAAATAAAGCCACATTTTGAGATTCTGAGTGTTACAACTTCAATTACATTTTGGGGCAGAGATCCTTTTTAACCTCTAATAGCAGAGTGGTGATTGGTTTTAGATACCCATGGGAAAGAGTTGTGAGAAGATTCAGTCCTTTTCACATGTTCTTTTTCTAATACCTAACCCCTGCAGGTAGTAAGCAGGCACTGAGGTGTAGTGCATAGAAGACGTGTTCGCATACAGACAGGGTCTGCTTCCTGTTCCTACTGCTTATGGATCACGTACTTCATTCTATCAAGTTATAATTGGATACTATTCTTAATGGTTTTCTGAGGGCTGGAATAAATCTTAGTTCTTTTCCTCTGTATTGCAGCACATGCACAATTATCAGGAAGTGTAGACAGTCCTCTGTTTTTTCAGGAAACTTGAGTGAAGAACCATCAAGAAATACTAAAATGCTCACCTTAAGAGTTCATCGCCCACCTTGTGGGCTGTCTCTTCGCACTGTTGGTCGTTTCTTTTGCTGTGCAGAAGCTTAGTAATAAGAAGACATCCCACTTGCTGATTATTTGTGCTAGCTCATGGGCAACTGATGTTTTGTTCATAAAATCTTTTCCTACACCAGTGTCTTCAAGAGTTCTACCTAACCTCTCTTCCAGCTGGTTTAGTGTGTCTCTTTTAATATTTAGATCTTTAATTCATTTTGGTTTTAGTTTAGTGTATGGTGAGAGATATAGGTCTAGTTTTAATCTTTGGCAAGTTGAAACCAAGTTTTTCCAGCCCCACTTATTAAAGAAGCTATGCTTCCTCCAGTGAGGGTTAAGTGAAATAAATAAGATGCATATGTGTAAATACTGAATAGTTTCTCTAATGTGAGAAACTGAAAGTGTAAATAAGGACTAAAAGGTATAATAGATAATGTGAAATAGGAAGAAAAGGTGCAAAAGAGAAGTGGAAGGGGTAGGGGAAAAGAAAGATGGGAATAGAATTAATTAGAGAAAAAGAAAAAATGGAAACAGTCCTTGTAGATCGGGAGGGGTGGAGGGGTTGAAGGGCGGGCAGGGGAATGGGGAAAAAACAAGAACCAAGATGGATTATGTAAAGGTACAAATTTCCAATGATGAATGTTATCACATTATATACTTAAATGTACCAGTAAAATTTATTTAAAAAATGAAATAGAGAAGACTTCCTCTCTGCTAATTAGGCTTTCTAAACTCAAAAACAATTTTGATTTAATAGAATTATGACTATTTGGAAGACTATGTAATAGAAGTCATCAAATAAATTGAGGCCCCTAAAATAGGTGCTGGGCCCAGTCCCAGATTTGATATCAATTCTTAATATGGAGTCTTTGTCTGTAAGGTAATAGAGGGATCATTTGTAGTAATCTTCTGGAAATACAATAATACCTTAGTTCACAAATGCCTCTGTTCACAAACAGTTTGGTTCTCAAACAGAAATGTTCGGCAGGATTTTGCTTCTGTTTGTGAACTCTGCATTACGTGATGAACACAACTGTAGCCATCTTCCCTGCATGAACATAAGCACAGCCATCTTACCCAGAATCATGGAAGGAATTAAGTTCCTGAACTGAGGTACCACTCTAGTAAGTCTAATCAAATCAATATTTAAACCAAGTATAAAGACATTTTGTTAAACAAACAAATACATGCATGCACTGCACTTACAGGTAAGAGAATATCACCTTGCTTCCCAGTTGTATTAGTTGGGGTTCTCTGGAGGAACTGATTCAATATAAAATATTTATATGATTACACAAGGGATTTATTAGGCCTACAGGATCAGAAGCAGAAGTCTTCTGTCTGTGAGATCCGAGACTGAAGAATCCAAAATGCTCCCCTGCACCCTGGAGAGCCAGAGGATCTAGTATCAGTTCAAAGTCGAAGGCCTGGAAGATCCCTGCATCGTCATTTGTGTGAGTCATTGTTGGAAGGTGGAAAATGGCCTGGAAGGCTGAAGAGTCTGCACTGTAAGGCTAAAGGAATTGGAGATCAGAGTTCAAAGGCAATGGAAAAGACCAGAGCTCCTCCAAAAAGGGAAACAATCCCTTCTTTCCCTTTTTATTCTGTCTAAGCTATAAGCCTATTGATGGACATAGCCCACTCAGGATGGTTCTTTTTCCCTCTGTTTGCTGGCCTATATGACACTAATTCACAGACACACCCAGAATTGACTCATTTTTACTCAAATCAATGTATCATAATTAATGTAAATTGAAGAAACACATACATCTCCTTAAACTGTACTTAATCTCCAAACACAAGTTCATAACTACACCTAATATGATATAACTCTTCTGCATACAAATGGAAACCCACTATTTCCCTTCCCAAAATAGATAGCACATTTTTACTTTAGGGAGGACTTACTCTGCTAATACAGTGGTGCCTCAGTTCATAAACATTTTTGCTTGCAAACAGTTCAGTTTGCAAACTGAAGCATTTGGCAAAATTTTGTTTTTGTTTGCAAACTCTGTATCAGGTGACAAAAACACTTGTGTCCACCTTTCCCACACAAACACAAATGTGGCCATCTTTTCCAAAATTATAGGACAAATTAAGTTCATGAATCGAGTTTCATAATTTAACAATTTAATATAGATTTGACAATTCCTAGGAACCCACTATTGAGTCAATCAACATTATGTTACAAGCAAAAAAATAAACAAAAAAAAACAGAAACATTTAAAACGTGTATATATGCACAAGCATATTAATAAAATAGGAATGAAATGCTCAGATAATAGCAAGCCTTGTTTCTGTAACTGGTCAGGCACTTGTGATTGGTATTTATAACCACTTTCTTCTGTTACCCATTCTTTATTCCTTGGCCTTCAGCAAGAATCTCAGTAGCTCTTGGCTCTTTATGATCTGTATTTCTAACAGCATTCTGGTCTTCTGAGCACCAACCAGAATCTCCCATCCATCTCTATTTATAGCATCACTGGGCTTTTCTAGCTAGTGTCTCCAAACCTTTCCAAAATCCTCCTGTGAAACAATTTCAAAGTATTTTTAAAAATTAACTTTATTGGTACATTTTAGGTATACATCATCACATTCACCATTGGGAATTTGTTCTTATACATAATATACCTTAGTTTGGAAGGGAGGGACGGGGAATGGGGAAAATGCAAGAATTTCAAAGATTTTAAAATCAAATAGTCAGTTATAGTTGTGGGAATAATCCCACTCTTGATACCAAAATATCTGCCTTACTCATGTTCTTGTGACTGTAACAAAATATTGGATTCCCACAACTTAAAGGAGGAGAGGTTTATTTTGGCTCACAGTTTTAAAAGTTTTAGCCCATGTTTGGCAGGCTCAAGCATAGAAATGGGATAGTGGAAGGACCTGGTGTGGAAGAAAGATATGCATGTTGTGGTGGCCAGAAAGCAGAGTGAAAGAGAGTGAGAGAGAGAGAGAGAGGAGGGAGATGCACCCTTCCAGTTCACAGCTACAGTGAGTTGCTTCTTCAGACTATATCCCACCCCTGCCCATTACACTGTGGATTCATCAGTGGGTGTAGCACCCCATGATACCTTCCAAGCACATGAGGCTTTTGGGGACACCCCATACTAAACTATGATTCCAATGTTCTACAAAGTCCCAGTTGAAAGAAATGGATTCATCCAGAATTTTCCAAATTAATGCATATTGATGTATGATAGATATCTTAATTACTTACATGTACTTTTATAAATGTATCCTTTACATATATATTTTTTACAAAGATTTATATTATATAATTAATTTTATGTATGCACAATTTTCCAACTTGCTTAGATTTTCACCATTCTTAAATGAGATGAATTTAAGTATGTGCAGCACAATTACTTATTACCTTACAAAGTAGATTTTATCACTATGGCCCTATCTTTTATTGCGCATACTGAAAGTAACAACCCTATACAGTCTGTTACTCCTACAGGAAAGATGCAGGACATTTCCCAAGATCCCCATTATACAATTTTGAATTACGTTCCAGAGCTAAATACTGAGGTAGAAGAGAACCAGAAACAGTTGTACTTTTTCATTAAAGACAATTAGAATTGTGTGTCCAATCATGCTTTTGTATTTTGCTTTGGCTTCCAGGAAGCTCTGAACCAATTCTCCAGCCCATCTGGAGCAGCCGTGTGACTTCTTGTTATCAAAACATATGTGAAATCATTTTTTCCAAATCTCTGCATTATACTTTTGATCTGTAATTTAATTCACCTGAATAGTTTTTAATTTATATTTGAATGTGGTTTTTTTTCTTTCATGTTAGTTTTCTATTGCTCCTATAACAAATCAACACAAAGATAGAGGCTTAAAACAACACACATTTTTTAGTTCTAGAGATCAGCGGTCTGAAATGGTCTCACTGGGCTAACATCAAGGTACTGATGGGGCTGTTCCGTTTGGGAGGTTTAGGGGAGATCCCTTTACCTGCCTGTATTTCTGGACTTTTGGCCCCTTTCTCAATTTTCAAAGCCAGCAGTGGATCATCATATGTCACCCTAGCTGTGACCCTGATGTCATACCTTCTTCCTTTTCTCATGAGGAAGGCTATGATCCTTATCAGCATAACCCTGGCTATCCATGACCCTTAACTTAATCACATCTGTAAAGCTCTCTTTGCCTTGGGAGATAACATTCATGAAGATTAGAAAAATGGACATTATTGAGAAACCCTTACCTGCCTCGAATGCATCCCTGTGTGAGTTGCCTCTTTCTGTAGACAGAGGCCAGTGGCACAGCAGGTATTTTGAAACTGGTAGCTTTGCTATTTCAGATTTTAGCTGGTGTTTTTATTTTAATATACTAATTTAGAAAATTACAGTATTATAAAGGCAGCAGATGTAGGTGTTGACTATAACAATTATGTTATGCTGTGCAGCCTGTTCTCAAGGATGGAACATGGGCTTGCTTGTATTGGAGCTCAGTTATTTGTAAGAGTCAAGGCCTCTTTTAGTAGAGAACATTAGGATGTGCTGTTGTCATATTTTAGAGCAAAATTTGATTCAGGTGTTGAATCTCAGTATAGTGAGTGGTTTTTAGATTAGTATATAATATTTAGAGAATTTTTCATCAATTATTAGCTTAACAGGAAGCTTACTTATTAGTGCCTGTAAAGGTGCTTTGTAATCTACCCAGTTAAATGAAATGAACATTGACTTAGACCAATGTTTCTTATATTTTCCATTAACTATTTTGTTTAAATTCTCCATCACTATGGTACACTATTGTTTTCTCTAAGTTTAAAATATTCCTCTCAAAATGAACTTGGGACTGACTCACTTGCACTGCTTCTTTTGAATAATTGTGCTGTTCGCTGTTTTTCTATTTAAGTGGCTGGATGGTAAAGAAATAGATCGTTCAGAGAGGATTCAGGCTCTGCAGAACTATTCAGTAGTCGAAGAGCAAATCAGAGAGCAGGAAAAAGCTTACCACCTCAGGAGAGCCAGAGAGAAAGAAGAGGCTCTGAGGAAAGTTGCAGAACAGTGTGACAGCAAGGACGAGAAGAGAAGGAGCAGCCCGGGCTGTGATGGGCGCCAGTACCCAGACACCCACACTGCACCGTAAGTAAATCGCCAGTGCCGGCTTCCTAGTTAACTTTTTTTGTATTGAAACATCAAACTGTATTTCTCCCCAGGATAGTCACAATTGCACTAACATTCTAGAAGGTTAGTTTGAACAATAAATATGATGTAAATTTTCGGGTGAAGAACACGAGCATTCCATTGTTTGTGACACTCTCTTTTCGGAAAAAAAAAAATGTCTCCTCAGACTAACAACTTCAATTTGCATCTAAAATCATCCCCAGAGAGATTTCTATAAAACACATACAGGAAGGGTGAATTAACAGGTGTACTGTGATTTATTAAGTAGGAATTTTAGAAAAGTTACATGCACTTCACCTGATTCTAAATTGAATAATTCTGATTTCACCCTAAAAACATTCTATTTTGTGAATTATGCAATGAATACATTTTAATATGATTAATAATCCTTTAATTCGTCCTTTTTCTGAATCTCACCTTTTCGTGATTTAAGTGAATTGCAGCTATACTTGGCTGATTTGATTCCATACAAGGAAAGCTTTAAATATGTACCCTACACAATCACTCAAAATGGAAAAAACAGTAGTTATAAAATAATTTAGACACACATAAATATTTAAATGATAACTAAATAGACAGCTATTGTTCCACCACCGAGATATATGACAGTCATATTTGCTTTGGCTCTTTGAAAAATAAGACATGAAATATAATTAAGGGCGAGAAGTCCCTAAAGCAGTTGGTCCTCCTCTGTACGGTTCCTTCCTTCACCCTCAGTGATTTCTAGCACCTTGAAGCCTGCATGTATTTGGCATTTGTTCATCACACCCACATTTTTAATATCTTTATTATGCTGTCACCACTCCTTAAACAAGAGTAGTGTGTTTACATGTGTGCATGCATTTAGCCTGTGTGATATCTTTTGACAGCTTTATTTTCCATGCACCATGTTTGGACATTTCTGCATATGAACACATAAAACTAATTCATTTTAACTATGGAATAACATTCCCCTGAATGAATAAATTACACTTATTCCAGAAGCGATACTCAAAACACTTAGCAGGCAGGGATTCATTGACCCTGGCTGCTCAGAACTTGTGCGAGCTGTCACAGCCTGTGTGGCCCCACCAGTGGGTGCCAGCTAACCAGCCCAGGAGCAGCAAGCCCTCTTAGCATGGCCATTAATGTTGCTTGCTCTGTTTCCCTTTCTCAGACAGTGTTACACATGTGTCCTTGGGCACACATGAACCTTTCTGTCTAGAGTATTTTAACAGCAACACTGCTATGTCTTCAGTTATGACATCTTTTTAGCTTCATATAGATTGCCAAATTGTCTTTTAAATTTATGCTCATATATCAGTAATACAGATAAAGCCCCATGATAATGATTTTTTAAAATATTAACTAAGTTTTTTTGGGGGGAGGTATACTGGGGATCGAACTCAGGACTTTGCGCTTGCAAGGCAGCAGTGGAACCACTGAGCTAGATCCCCAGCCCCCAAAATTTGTTGTTAAATTGTACCTATTTTTAGTAAATTTGCATTTATGTAGGTAGATATGAGTTTGAATATATTAAATACATTCTTACGTGTTTATTGGCTATTCACATTTGCTCTGTTCAGGCACTCTACTTATTTTTAATACTTTGTAGGGTTTTTTCCTTATTGATGTATAGTTCTTATGTGTTCTGCATACAAATGTTTAGGCAGGTCTATGCTTTGTAAATACCTTCTCCCAGTCTGTCACTTGCCTTTAATTATAAGTGCTTCTGTTTTGTGAAAAGCAAACATACTTAAACTTTCTGATTTTGTTTATGAGATTCATCATTATCCCAGTGTCATATCTACCAATCTGGAATTAAACTAATCAGCTCGTGTCGATGATACAGAGTAGGGTACTATTAGTTTCAGATGGGTAGCTAATTGTCTCTATACCTTTTATTGGGTTTCTGTACTTTCCCTGCTGACCTGAAATGCACCCTTAGCACACACCTTCTGAGCACGTATTTCTGGGTCCATTCTGGGTTCTCTCAATTGCTTCTTTTTTTTATTGAGTTTATTGGTACATTTTAGGTATACAGTACAGTACAGTTACATTCATTATTGGGATCTTGTACCTTTACATGACAGGTCTTGTTTCTCATTTTATCCTCTTGTCCCTGCCCTCCCATCACCCCTTCCTCCCCTCCCCATTTACAAACACTTTATTTCCATTTTTTCATTTTCTCATATTTTTTTCTTTTCCCTATTACCTTTCCCCTACCCTTCCCACTTTCCCTACACCTTTAGCCCTTTCTTCCTATTTCACACTGTCAATTATCTCATTAGATCTTATGTATTATTATAGCTTTTCATACCAGAGAAACTATTTGATATTTACATGTATGACTTATTTATTTCACTTAGGAGTATATCCTCAATATGTATCCATTTTCCTATGAATGAATCTAATGTCTCATTATGGCTGCGTAGTATTCCATTTTATAGAAAAACCATATCTTCTTTATCCAGTTTCCAACTTATGGGCAAATGGGCTGTTTCCAAGTTTTAGCTATTACAAACTGTGCCACTATAAACATAGGTCTGCATATATCACTGTGATATGATTCTTTTAATTCTTTTGGAAAGATAGCCAGCAGAGGGATGGCTGGGTCAAATGGAACCTCCAGTCCAAGCATTTGAGGTATCTCCATATTGATTTCCATAGTGGTTGCACCAGTCTGCACTCCCACCTACAATGGAGAAGGGTTCCTTTCTCCCCACAACCCCACCAGCATTTGTTATTGGTTGATTTCTTGATAGCAGCCATTCTTTGTGGGCTGAGGTGTAATCCCACTGTTGTTTTCAGCTTCATCTCTCGAATGACCAGTGATGTGGAACATTTTTTCATGTATTTACTTGCTGCTTTTACTTTTTTGTCTGAGAAATGTCTGTTCTCTCAACTGCTTCTTAAGAGTTCCTCCACTTGGTTTTAATTTCTATAGATTTATGGTAAATTTAGGTATTTGGTAGAATATATTCTCATTTTTCAAAATTATCTTGGTTATTCTTTGTTCTTTACTTTCTTGCATGAATTTTAGTGTCTACTAATCAAATTCCCTAAAGATCCCTAGTAGAACTTTGATTTAAATTGTGATTAATTTATATGTTAATTGAGAGAATGGTGACATATACATGACGGTTTTTTTCTCACTGAACTATGGAATAGCTATTTGCTTTTTGGGGATCTTCTGAGTTCTTCAATAAGATTTTTAATTTTCTCTATAAAGGTCTTACAACATCTTTCATTAAAGTTGTTCCTAAGAATCTTGTGGAATTCGATTTTAAAAATAAACATGTAATTGGTTCTTCCTGATGTTTAAAGAGAGGAATGATTTCCAGATATTGATAAAGATTAAGCAATTTTACTGACCTTCTTAAAAGATAAAGTAGTTCACCTATAGATTATCCTGTTTTCTATGTTTAAAAACACATTGTTTATAAATAGCAACTTTAAGATATTTTTTCAATCCTTCTGCCTCCCCTGAATTTTCTTCATGTTGCCCCCAAAGTATTGCAGTACAGAGCAGAACAGGAGCCATAAGAACAGGTGTCTCTATATTGTGTTCCTGACCTAAGCAATGTTTTCAATCTCTTGTCATTAAATATAAGGTTCACAATTGAGTCTGGTAAAGTTAAGTAAGTTTCCTTCTATTCTCTTTTGCCAGAGAGTTTTAATCATAACATTTATTGAATTTTTCTTAAATGTTTTCCCTGCTTCTATTAAGATAATTATGCTTTCCTATTGATATGTTGGATCACACTGTTTTTCTAATATTAAATTATCCTTGAGTTTCCAGAGTAAACCCATTTTATCCACGATATATTTATTAAGGCATTGCTGTGTTCTCTTTATTAGTATCTTATTTATAATATCTGAACATATGTTAATAAGTGAGTTTATGCTACAATATCCTTTCCTTACTGTATTTTTAACTGGTGTTTTGCAGTGGGATTATAGTGGGCTGACAAACTTATGGGGTCATGTCTTGTTCTTGGCTTTTAAAAGTTTACACAAGTGGAAAGTCTGCTCTTCATCCTTCAGGGCAATAGGCATATTAGCTGAATTCCTTGCAGATGCCCACTCACTTTCTCGCAGGATTGGCTGGTCCTTTGTGCTAACCACTGTCACCTTGTTCAGCCTATGTGAACAGAGGCCCAGATAGGCTAGGGAAGTCACTGAGCTAAGGTGCATTGGCTTCTCCGAGGAGCAGTAAGGAGCCTTCCAAGGCTGCGAGAAGAAACAGCGCAGAGATTTTGATACTACGAGAGAGAGAGAGATGAATATTTCACCTTGCAGGTACACAGAGCCTGCAGATAGACAGCAGGGAAGTATATTGACCATTGTGACAAGGAGTGATGTCCTTACAGAAGTCTTACAGTGTCTCTGAGAACTGCAGGGGTGCCCGCAAGAGAAGAAGTGGTTGACTGAGTGCTGGCCCCAGAGAGGGCAGCAACAGTGAGGTTCTAACAACAGCAATCATGGCAGAAATACTCACCTCCTCCCAAACTCTGAAGGCAGGGGACCTAGAAGGGGTCAGTGAGATGGGGCACAAGGCCATAGAACAGAGGAACAGAGGGGGATAGGAATGGCTGGTGTGCCTGCTGTCCACAGCTCTGCCCTGAGCTGGACGAGGGGAGAGAGAAGCTGAGAGAAAGAGGTGGAAGTCTGAAGCTTTGTGAAACTACTGACCTTCTAATGCCCGGAAGTGAGTTTTAGCTGAGATGAGTGTGCTCTCAAAAGTGTTACTGGACTACAGGATCTGCTCCTGAGTGGACAGAGGGTTCTGAGAGCAGAAGGCGTGAGGGAAAAGGACATTTTGTTGTTTTTCAAACACTAATGGACTTCATTTTATCAGCCAGCTACCGACATTTGTGCCCATTTTACCTTTGGAGGCTTATGTTGGTTTGCTTATATTCCTGGCAGTTTTTCTTAAGTAGAGTTATTTTTATTGTATTATTATTCTAAATTGTGAAAGGTAAAAGTAAGCCAATTAGTCACTCTCCAGGAAGAAGTCACTTAATGCGAATGGTACCAATTATTTCAGTGGCAATTAGCTAGAATCTTGCAGAATATTATAGATCTCCCTCATACATGATTTTTTTTTAGTGCCACAAAGAACTAGAGCTGTATGGCAGAGTGCTTATTTTCAGTAATATGCATATTTTGTTTATTAAAATACCTAGGCACATTAAAATATAAAGAATCTAAACAGGATTTTATTCTCTGTCATTTATATTATTTAAATGTCTTGTTTTACTACTTTTTAAGCATCCTCTGTAAAGCATCTTATTTAAAGATCAGCTAAACATATCTTTTATGTTACCTCATGCCAGTAACAACAAAACCTGACATTTACTGAGTACTTACTATTTGATAGATGGGTGCTAAAGGCTTCGTGTACCTTTTGCATTTAATATTATTTTGTAATAGGGCATAAATTCTAAAGGGAGATGAGAGGAGAGGGACCATACCCAACCTTCACTGTTTGAGTAATGTTATTTTCTCCTGCTGGAGTAGAATCATCTCCCAAAAGTGGTGTCACAGCCTTTCTTGAGCAGGATTCTGCCTCTGATTCCTGGCATTCAGAAGACAACCCAAAATATTTCTTATACTCATGTTGAACATTTCATGTGTGACTTCCATTCAGTGATGTATAAAGACATCATTTAATTCTCTGACAGTCCAAGAAACAAGGATAAAGAGAGAACAGAAAACCGGTACAATATTAAAGCTACACAATCAGTAGTTAACTGTGAAGAATAAAATATGTAGAGGCCCAACTGTGGAAGGTCTCACATGTCCCACCAGAGAGTTCTGAGAGAGAGGTCTTTAAAGGACCTGAAAGCAATGTGATCCAGTGTGCGGGGATGGGCCTGCACTGGGAGCAGTCGAGAGAGTGGAACCGGCTGGAATTAGTCTGAAAATGGGTGATCACTAAATCAACATGGCTTCTTTTCTTGTTTAAGCATCAGAAGCGCCTGCCAAATAGTCTGCATTCCCAGGCTCTACCCAGATCTACTGAACAAACTTTCTGATGGAAGGTCAGGAACCTGTAGGTAACGCCCACCAGTGAGGCCATGAGGCTCCATTCAAACACTGCCCTGATAGAGGATGAGGGCCTGCTTCGGCGCTGTGACAGTGACTTCCTCCAACTCAGTTCTCCTGATATGCACTCTGTTTCTAACACATACAAACACACACACACACACACACACACACACACACACACACACACACGTTTTCATATGCATCTACATGAGGGTGGGTAATCTATATTATACTGAGCCTGAAAGCAGAAAAACTTAGCTCAGACAGACACTCAGAAGTGTTTCGTCATTAAAAGGTAGGAAGTTAACCTAAGGAAAGTGCAGGAGATGTTTACCTGGCAGCACGAAGGATGAAACTCTTGATCTTACGTGCCTTGTGTCTGCTTGTTTTCCTTAGCTCGTCTTCTTTAGAGAGCAAAGACCACATCCAGGTACCAGAAATACAAGATGAAGCACATGATACAAAGAAGTTAAATCAAAGTGAAGATGACCTGGAATTCTGGAACAAACCCTCTTTGTTTACTCCTGAATCTAGATTGGAAACTCTTAGACATATGGAAAAACAACGGAAAGAACAAGAAAAATTAAGGTATTGTGTATTTTCCTATCATTGAAACTGAAGTAGTACTCTGAAGGACTGCATTTTCTTGATTGTAGATTATTTTTCTCATTATTTGTGTTAAGTTTTTCCTAGCCATCACACACAGACTTTGCTTTCTATTGAATTGTACTGGATTATGCTTGTTAATATCAAAGTGCTTCTTATAAAAAAAGAATCATGACATTTTAGGTAAGGTTTTGTTTGTATGTATGTCTTTGGCATTTAAACCATTGTATGGATATCTAGGAATAGCGTAGCCTCAGTGAGAAAGGTGTAGGGGAAGTGGAAAAAGTAGGGAAAAGAAAAACTATGAGAAAAGGAAAAGATGGAAACAAAGACTTTGTTAATAGGGGAAGGGGAAGGGGTGAAGAAGGGCAGGCAGGCTATAAGGAAAAAATGAGAACCAAGATCTGTCATGTAGTGGTACAAGATCCCAACGATGAATGTAACTGTACTGTATACCTACAAAGTACCAACAAATTCAATAAAAAGAAAAAAGAAATACTAGTTTTCAGGGTACAAATAAAAAGGTAATTGTGGGATGAATGAACTTCTTTGAATTTCCAAATTTCCAAAATGGAGAATTGGAATTCATTTCGTTTGGCATTTTATTTTCACAATATACTTTTCTGAGGCATTTAACAATATGATTTCAGTTTTTGAAGTGTTTAGATATAATTTGATGATTTGTTGGAAATTAAGATGTTTAAGCTATCTTTTCAAAGTACTCTTCAGAGACAGCCTCTGTGTCATTCCATTTCACATCATTGCCTAAGTCTAGCATGTAAAATACATCACTTACAGGGGTGTTTGCAATTTATCATCTTGAAAGCCATGACGAATTAGCTGTGAAATATAGCGATCTGCATGGTAGTGAGATGAGCTATACACAGTATATCTTCCTGTGATTATTAACTGAAAACAACAAATTAAGAGTAGGAAGACTCATAGAAATCTGTGCTGATTTCATGAAATATTCTTTATTTATTAGAAAAGTAGGGAGGTGCAGCAATCCAGAGTGAAATGTTACCTAAGACTTGTCTGAAGGCATGGTGGTTGCATGGCCAGGCCCCACCGCTTCGGGAGGGGTGCTGGTCTACCATCAGATGGGTTATGTGTTGACCTGTCGCTTGCTCTCTAGGTGGTACTGGAAGTGGTAAGTTCTCCTCCTCTGTCTCCTCATCTGTTTCCTTATCTGTCACGTTGAATAGGGCTTATCATACCTGATTTGCCATTGTACTATTTGTTAAGAAAATCAGATGAGCCAATAAATGTGAATATCTTTTACAGACCCAAGAGCCATTTTAAATGAAAATTCCATGTTTACAGAATATACACATGTGTACATGTGTGTGCACACGCACGAGGGATACTGAGCCTGAAATCAGGGGAATTTTGTTTTGTTCTTTTTTTTCTTTTTTTTTTTTTGATCCCTGCCATATAAAAGAGTAAGGCCAAGTTGGTTGGCTGTCTGAATTGCTCTGTGTGTGTGCTGGAGTCTACCCAGCCTGGTGTCCCTGAGATGTCTGCCTCTGCTTGGTTGTTTTCATTAGCTGGGGGAATCCAGAGTGAGAAACAAGCCTTTCATCTTAACTTGGCTCTGGTCCACCGTGAGTAGGGTGAAGCCAGGTATTTCTGGATAACGTTTAATTGTCCTGAATTATTGAAATAGCTCCTCAAATGGAATGGGAGTCCCAGTTTAAGATACAGAAGAACGTAATTTTAAAAAATAAAGTTAACTGCCACAAAATCTCTGTTAAAGGGACAGTAGAAATTCCAAGGAACACTGCCTACAACTCCATCGTCTAAACACATTTGTCTATTTTATCTTTTAGAGCTTGTCTGCGTTCACCTGTTTAAGTTTTAAGAAGTACTTTTCAGGATGTTTTAAGTAGAAATTATTGACTAAATTTTTACTTGATGATAATCTCCTCTTTCTTTACTTTTCTTTTCTTCCCGCCCAGCCCTTCAGTATAATGAGCTTTCACAGGCTCAGGCTGGTGCCATCGTATATTTCCCCTCCTATAATCATGTAAATCACCCTGCAGCATAAAATTGGGGTTTAAAATCTTAAAAAGTGAGCTGGGGATGTAGCTTAGTTATAGAATGCTTGCCTGGCACACTTGGGGTCCTGGATTTTAACCTCAGCACCACAAAAAGTTGGCTTATATTTTATATACTGTATTTGTTTTCACTAAAATATATAATTTTTAGATCAGTAGGTAAAGAGCAAAAATATTTTAAAATACTTGTAAGATATTTCATAGATGAATGTCACCCTTCCACTGATAGATGTTCACAAGTTTTCAGTTTTGCCTCTGCAAGTGAATCTGTTAGGAATATGTTTCTACATAGATCCTTGTGTAATAGTATTTTTATTTCTATAGAATAGATTCTAATTGATATTTTAAAACATAATTTTAACTAAAACAGAAACTATACACAACTGACAGTTACCTGGGTAAATCATGCATAAAATAAATTCATTTAAATATTTCATGATACAGTACAGTCCTACATCAATAATACTAGATTCAGTTTTGGTTTGAAATTTACTTTGTCTGCAAATAAGATTGCTACCCCTGTTTTTTTCTGGGCTCCTGTCACATGGAGAATTGTTTTCTATCTTTTCACCTTCAGTCTATGGGCTTCTTTTTGCACTAGGTGTGTTTCTTGTATACAACATATTATTGGATTTTGCTTCTTATTCCATTTTGCCAGTCTATTTCTCTTGATTGGAATGTAAAATATCTAGTACCTGCTTTATGATACATAGTAGGGACCGTGCTTTATC